ACTAAGCCATTTATCTCCTCTCCATCCTATCACGGCCTTATCTTTACTGCTGTGTTTTTCTGTAGCATTGCAGCAGAAACGCTCTGAGCCCAAATACCTGCGAACACCGAGTGACATTTTGGAAATATGTTGATATGTTCCACATAAAGATAGAGACAGATAAGAGGAAGTGCTGCACGGGAACGGCTGTGTAGCCTTTGTTGGTGCGAGTAACAAATCCTGGAAAGTGATAAAAAAAAATGTAAAAAAAAGAATTGAGGGCGTAGAGAGGAGCTCTGTGAGATGATAAACGGGGATAAAGGATGGAGTGTGTTCTCAGAGCTCATCACTCTGCTCCCAATCTCATTTCTCTCCTCCGCCGACTTCTCCTGTAAACCAGGGCGATCCCTCACTGCCCTGATCATGTCGGGATGACGCTGCTGCCTCACATGGACGGAAATGATAACGGGGAAAAAAAAATGAGTGCGTGGTTCATACTTACTGTACATGACACCGCTGCTGGTGTGTGTGTGTGTGTGTGTGTGTGTGTGTCGTAGGAGGGCGGGTGGTTCCCCCACTGTCTGCTGTTTATTGAGCTTACAGAATAGGCCATATTGTGCACACACACACACACACACACACAGCCGGTGTGAAGGGTGGAGCAGTGGAGCCTGGTTGGTCCTCCTCCTGTGGCTCCACTCTCTCCTCCACCTCCTCTATCCGTCCATTCTTCACCGCCCTGGTCTTCCCCGTCTCCTCCAGTCCGACTTCTCACTCCCTGAAGAATGTGCAGTTTTCTCCTCAACACCACCTTCATCTGTGTGTGTGTTTGTGGTTCAGTGGTATGTTTCAGGTGGTCTCAAACCGGGGTCATTTCAGGCTTTTGAACGCCTTGAGATTTCTGGAATATCAGTGCGATTTTTTTCCCCCACTGTTTAAGATGGATTGAAGTTTTAAAGTAGCGCGCTCAAATCAGGCTAAATTTCACCCTTTAATGTTAGCTAACCAGGAGGCTCAGACTCACCTGCACCTGGAGGGGCTGGAACGTAACTGCAAGTGTCACTGACTAGTAGAGGGCCGGACGTGGCTGGTCCATGTACCGAAAGCGGGTTGCAGACCAGGGGTTTGGAACCTCGAGGTTAGATGTGTATTGTGACGGGTTTGTTTGACTCTGCTAACGATGTGTTGCTGACCTACTGTAGTTGGAAAATGACTTGTAGTCACTTATACGAGTCGCGACTCGTCACAACAACTAAGACTCACGACTAGCAGTGAGTTGTCATCACACTACCACCACTAGTAGGCACAAAAGTCACACTTCTTTTTCTATTTCACATTAATGACTAGTCAAGACTAGTACTGACTAGGAGTTACTTTTGACCTTAAAAGTACTTGGAAAGCTGTCACTACTAGTCTGTTGTCCTGTTGTACCGTTGTGGTGTGTTCACGTAATAACTGTTCACTTTGAGGTCGGAAAAACGACCTCCAATCTTGACGAGGATATTAATAAATCTGAGATAATTCTAAATCTGACTAGGAGTGACTAGTCAAGACTAGTAATGACTCGTCTGTTGTCCTGTTGTACTGTTGTGGTGTGCTCACGTAATAACTGTTCACTTTGATGTCGGAAAAACGACCTCAAATCTTGACGAGGTTATTAATAAATCTGAGATAATTCTAAATTTGACCTTAAAAGTACTTGGAAACTCCTTGACTCCAGGCCAAGAATGAGTTGATATGGTGATCTATAAAAACGCTCAGCTCTCTGACCTGAACACCGACCATAATAAACACATTGTTAAAATAAACATTTACACACACACAGCTGTATTACAACCTGACACTAAGATAAACAGGAGTTTCTCTGTGATTTATCGCTGGACTCCATTAATTATTAACAGCATTATGACTCGCAGCAGTTTCACACATGAACCAATCCGCCGAGGTTTTCTGGCTCAGAGATGAGAGCAGAGGTTAGGGCTTAAAACCACTATCTGAGTCAGGCATCGCACACACACACACATACACACAAACACCATCATAAATGTAGGCTTGTGTTAACATGACTGTGTGAGCGGCGGCTCTTATTGATACAGATGTATTGGTCATTAAGTCAGTTAGGTTTGACATCTCAGCTCGATGGCAGCCAAAGAAAACAACAGAAGAAGTGCTCTCTCTCTCTCTCTCTCTCTCTCTCTCTCTCTCGTTCAGAAATGTTTCCACTCTGTTCATTCAGACAGTGGTGTTTTCACATTCCCCTCTGTGTTAAGACCAAAAGCTTAGCTCAGCTAGGCCTAGCTTACATGGTTTTAGGTGATTTTAGTTTGACCTCAGCTTAAACTAAGCATATTTTAGTCTTGCTTAGTTTATTGTAGTTTGTTACCTCGTATGATTTATACCTTTCTTTTATTGGATGCTAACGATGGCAGAAAATAAAACACATATTTAGCTTATGTTAGCTTAATTGAGCATATCTCAGTCAATTTTACTTAGTTTAGCTAAGCCTGTTCCAGGTTATCGTAGCTTACCATTTGTAATTTTATATATATTTTTTAGATATCCAAGCTGACCTTATTGTCTCTACACTTAGCTTATGTTACCTTTACCTTTATCTATCTTTAGCCTATATTAGCTTAGCACAGCATGGTTTAGCATATATCAGCCATCTTTAATTTGGACATCAGTTTTCCCGTTTCTACACTTTTAACAAATCTCCATGATGATTTACGGCACGCCTTCTCTGTCCTTTTGTCTTTCAGTTGGAGGCGGAGTTAGAGTCGTGCGAGAGGGAAGGGGCGGAGCTCCAAGAGTACGCCAACCAAGTCCTGCAGCAGATCGCCGACCGATGTCCCGATATTTTAGAACAAGTGGTCAACGCTTTGGAGGACAGCTCCTGACACAGGAATATTCACTGAAATTAATGAGCAAAAATGAATTCAATACACACACACACACACACACACACATTGATGATCAGGAATCTCCAGCTTTAATTAACCTCTGATGCACAAGTAGAATCACAGTGTTGAACCTAAGGTCACGTTGGACGTCTCTGTTCATCGTTCTCTCATCTTAAGTTTGTAATTCCTCCTCCTTCGTCCCTGACTGTCACTTTAATACACCTTTGGTACCTAACTTCAAACACGGCCTAACCAACTGGATCAAAACAGCCTCAGTAATCCTTTCCGGTTTTTGTTACAACTGAAATGGCGTGCATAAAAATGCAAAAGTTGCCTAGGTCAAATTTTTTTTACTGTATTTCTTGGTAAAACAGAGCATGTACGACGTGTCGTGAACAGAACTGGTCGCTGAGGAAGAAACCCCGGCTGGTTCTAAAACCGTGGTTTTAGGTCAAGGTCACCAAATACTGTCTGTAACAAAAAACAGATTACTAACCCACAGTGGGGAAAAATCGCTGTCTGTCAAACAATTACGTTTTTTTTTCATCCGATTAATCAAGAAAGCTGTGGATTAATCGCGATTAATCGTGATTAATCATGAATAATCCTTATGAAGCCGAGTCAACATTCCTAAATATACCAAGAAAGTGGAGTTGGGTTTTAGTGAGTGACTGATGGAATTGATTTCAACACAGCAGTGTGTTAGCGGTGAAACTGGACGCTGAAGGACAAACAGAGCAGGGACGTCTGTCTGAGTCGACACGTGACCGAACAGTTTGGTTTTTGTTTTTGTTTTGTTTTAACTGACAGTATTTTTTGTGACTTTAAAAAACAGAAGCATGTGTTGAAAACATCAGGATGGTTTTATTCATACTCTTTCCAAAATTTCCGTAGGAGTGTTTGTCACCGCCCTGCTGGTCAGCAGTTGCATGTGCTGAGGTTTTTCTCGGTGTGTTCGTGGTGTCAGACTGTCAGTGCTCAAATCAACAGTCTGTTTATTTCTCCTTCCTTCGTTTGCTGCTATCATCACCAGTGTTTAGTTCCCGTCTGGTTTCTGATGAAACGTCCCGGCTTTTTTCTTTTTTTTTTTTTCCTCCCAGCACCATTTTTCCTGCTTTGTTGTGTACAGTTTGAAATAGAGAAGTGTAATTAAGAGGAGCACAGCCTCCGTCAGGGGAACATGACACGTTCATGTTACAGCAGGAAGTCACACACTACCACAAATATCGCAGTACTCCCTTTATGTAAGAAAAAAAAAACAAAACGAAACAAACCAGAACCACAGCAGTGTACCACGGTGTGTGTTTGTCTGTAGCCTGAGAAAACGACATGTTTCCAGGTCTGTGCTGAAGTGACACGGAGCTCAGACCATCTTCTCTGACAATCCTTTTTAGAGTTGACACCAGGAGGCGGCGGAGTCTGCACTTTTATTGGAACATCGTACGTTGGTTTTCCGTTTGAGAGAATGAAAAGTATTTGTTATACATATAAATATATATATATTATTATTTTTTGTCTGTTTGTTTGTTTCATCTTTGGTAATATATTAACATGTACCCAGCCAGAATGTCCACATGGGTCATGTGACTGTAAGACGGGGGTGTATTGTAACGGTCACGTACACGGATGAGTCAGAAAAAACCAGGACAAACTGGAAAAAAGTTCTCGTTTCCTAAAAATAACAACGTTTTTCTTCACATATCTTCCATTTAAGACCGGGACTTGAATTTGCAGTGAATTCTGGGAGATTTTTTCACTACAGGTTGTTACCTGTTTTGTCTTATGGAAGGATGAGAATTAAATTCATTTGTTGTTTGTTTTTTAGGATTGAAGAAGAAAAAAAATGAAAAAACATTCAAGATAAAAAACTGTTTCTGATTTAATGGTTGAACCTCATGTTGAACAACATCTGTCTTAGAACTTTTTGACTCAGATTGGTACGCCCCCTACTGTTCATGCACATGTAGCCATCATTAAAATACTGGCTGGGCCGAACGTTCTTCTTGATTTATTTGAAAATATTGTCACGTCGGTGTTCTGTTACGGTGTGTGTCACCATCCGTGTGTGTGTGTGTTTGTGTGTGTATGAGAGAGAGAGAGAGAGAGTTTGTTTCTTTTAACCACAGATTATTTCCACACACAGGAGACTGCTATCGAGAACGTACTGTTCGCTGCACCTTCTCTTCACCCTCTGTTCACTGAGGAGTTTTTTTTTTTGTTTGTTTCTTTTTTAATTCATCAGATTCAGTTTCATGTTGTTGTTGTTGTTGTTTACAAAGAAACTGAGGGGAAAATGCATGTTTACCACCGAGCTGGCAACATGAGTCTGGACCTCAGTCTGGACTGGTCCTGAGTCTAGTCTGACCCTGGGCCTTGACTGGTCCTAATCCTGACCCTTGGTCTGGACTGACCGTTGACTTGGACTCATCCTGAGTCTGACCCTGAGTCTGGACTGATCCTGAGTTTGGACTGATCCTGGGTCTAGTCTGACCCTGGGTCTGGACTGATCCACTTACAGCACAGAGTTTCTAATTGTTAGAAAATGCCGTAATTAAACAAGGGATTTCGACCTAACTGTTGTTGGCTCCTCGACTACACGTCCTGATTGGACAACAACATACTGTATGTAAACAATGGCTGTGGAGCTGACGAAGAATTTGAATAAAAAAGTTGTCTTGGAATTCTGAAAATGTGTTTAAAAAAAAAACAGACTTAACTTTTGGCAGAAAATTATAAAAAATGCACCTGAATCTGAAACAGTTGTAAGATTAGAGTTTGAATTGATTGTTTGATTAATTTTTCAATTTTTGTTTTCCTAAATAATTTGACTAATAAAAGTGACTCAATGAAATTTATCATGAGAATTAGGCAAGAATCAGGTGTTTGACAATTTTTTTTAAATAAATACGAAGTAAGAATTGAATTTCTGTTTGTGGCGTTATTTAAATAAAAAATAATCTCAACATTTGGAGAAAGAGTCTGTCCTCTGTGAAACTGCTGCTGGATCCAGTCGTCTGTGGATGATGATAATAAAAACCCAGCAGACACAGAAGCTCAGACCAGGATTTACAGACTCAGATCTGGTCTCCTGCCAAAGCCAACCGTTCAGACGTGTGTGTTTTTATTTCTGGGAGTGAATTTGGTGAAACTGTTGATCAGATGAAGGTGAAACGGTGTCAGCTGACTGAGCTGCTGCTGCTGTAACTCAGTGTTCAGTTTGTGTCTTTCACACATGTTTGGACCGACCAGGACTGGAACTGAGAACCCAGAACGAGAGACTAGAATAAAACATGACTTTATCTTTCTGATTCTCACAGTTTGGTTTTTTTCTAATGGTTTCCTCCACAGGGGAGCGATGTTTTCTGACTCTTTGACCCGTTGATATGAAGTGACTCCTGATCCTTTTCATTGGCTGTAAAACGTCCGTGTGGACGTTATGGGCAGTTTCAGCAGAAGGTGTCCAGACCTGGAATTTATAGAGGGCAGGAAAGGTGAGGCGATCAACATTTGACGAGGGAAACGTTCCGGGAAGATAAAAAAAAGGGTGGGGGAACAGAAACCTGTCAACAGTCGTAACAAATGTGATCGGAGCGTCTGTAGCTAAAACCTTTAGAAATGGAAAAACTCACCGATGTTAGCTGCAGGTTCACAAACACAGTTATCAAGTACATTCATATATACATGGGATTGGACTTGGATTGGTGTCGACCGACCGATATCATCGGTCGATATTAGCTTAATTATGTAATACCGGTAAAAATCGTAACGAAAACCGGAGAACGTGATCTGTCTGGGTTTCTCCCAGATGATGTGACCAAAAATAGTTTTGAAGTGAAAGTGAAACTATTAGTAGTAATGTTCATAGTATTGTCTCTGAGACACAGAAGAGTTGATATCAGAATCGGAAATCAAGTGTTTGGACAACATCGACAAATCGGATATCGGCAAAAAGTTAATATCGGACATTCCTAATGTATATGTTTTGAATATTTTCTGCAGTACGTATAAAATAAAATTTATTCCTATTGTCAAACTAGTAGAACACAAGTCCAAATTCCTGCACGCTGTGCCTTTAAATCATTGGGGAAAAGTTCAAAACTGCTGTCAGCTGAAACTAATTCTTCATTCTTCCAGTTTTCCTCACCTGCTCTCACCACAACTCCTCCTCCTCCTCCTCCCCTCCTCCTCCTCCTCCTCCTCCTCCTCATCTCTTCTTTTATTTTTCCTTCTTTTACCTGAGAAATAAACTCCTTCTCTCATCTCATCACCAGGGTTTTCTTACGTCATTTCCAGTCTCGGCTGCTGAGCTCCATCACTGACACAGACAGGAACTGACTTGAACATCACTTCCTGTCTGTGTCTGGACCTTCATGGTGTGATTTCAGACACATCACTGGAGGAACAGAGTTTATCAATGGAAACGGTTCCATTGTTGTGTTTGGACTGAATGTGTTTCTGCAGGTTGAAGCTGATTGGTTGAACTGTCCAACACCAGGTGAATACTTTCTCAGTACTGACCGATCATGATCATGACCGTTTGTCATGATGTTTTTCACACATACGCCGTCAGTGGTTCACAGTCGGAGCCGATCAACTAGAAAACCTGACCTAACAGAGGCACGCAGCTGGACCGACCTCTGACCTTGACCTTCGGCAGATCCTTGACCTCCTCCAGGCTGGGATGAAAACATCATCAGGTGGCGGTGGGTTCACTGGGCTCTTCACACAATAACACACATCAAACGGAGGCCGAGGGTCGAGTCAGTGTGTGTGTGTGTGTGTGTGTGTCGGCTTTACCTTCACATATGGCAACGTTTGGTAGGTGTGTGAGCACCTGGGAGTGTGTGTGTGTGTGTGTGT